TTCAAATACGAATAATTATGATACAACAATACAAAGCAAATTATACAGGAATTTGTACAATATTCATCATAGGTTGAACTATGAGAATGACAATAAATATAATACACGGGGTGACCATAAAAATACTTAATTATGTAGTGGGACTTCTCACAATAACTCCTTTCATTCCGTTAGAAAATATCAACAACAAATTCCACCGGAATGAAACGTTTTCGATGTCATCCGCCCTGCTCCCTACGGTTACGGTTACGATATAGCACCCCACCCCTCTCTCACTCGCTCCCCACTGTGTATGTCGATATAGGTCCTACCCCCCCCCCTGCCCCCCCCCCCCTCTCTCTCCGACCACATCAGCAGATGGAGGAAGCGGAACTAGGTTTGAGGTAATGTTTTCGATGTAAGAAGTATGTCGTCCAACTCGAAATGCCCTAAACTCACTCTCTCCCCCCCCCCCCCTCTGTGGTTGTGGTTTCGATCCCTGGTGTGAGCGTATATGGCTTGGAGATAGGGGCGACTTCTCAACAACGTGGGTTTACTCCGGGTACTCCGGTTTCCTCCCACAGGAAAGATCCCTGCGCTGAGATAATGATAACGAAGACTTGTCTGCGATATCACCTTCAGGTGGAAGCGGACGTTAAACATTAAGAACAACAACAACGTCAAAAACATAGGCGTTAGACCATTCCAGTTTAAAGGACAATATTGATGTCAGTCATTATCACATATGTGATAGAGCCGGTTAAACACATTCCAAATATAATTTTAACACAGAGATCATTACTACGATAACTGAGTAATACAGGTTTCCTGAATCGGAAGTGACGAACGCCAAAGGAAAACACGAGTCATCTCTCTATATAACTGACTGATGTGACGAGTGATAACGGATATACGGGCGAATTTCTGCTCACTAATAATTCCTTCATCCAAAACGCGGGCGTTAGACCAATCCACCCCCACCCCCAGTTTAAGAGTTATAGAGTTATCGCCTGATTAATAGAGTGGTAGACAAGATATATTGTAGGATATTAAACTCAATCTCTTTAAATGGATTTATTTTATTTCTTATCGTTTTATATCCTTCTGATTTTCTCCTATTTATAACATCTATTAAGATTGTAAATGAGGTGCCGTTGAGACGACGTGTGATTTAAACGATAATAAATAAAGCTGACAAATCATAGAATCTAGGGTGACGGGTTGGATTGAGGGGCGTGTTTGAGTGACATCTTAGGGTGACGGGTTGGATAGAGGGGCGTGTTGGATTGACAAAGAATTTAAATGCCGAGATTCTAAATTGAGAATCTGTTCATTCATATCTCATCAACGGTGACTGCATGAATACTAAAAACTCTAAATTTGACTACATGAATAACAAAACCCTCAAGTTTTTTTTTATATGAATACTATTTGCATACTGAAACGATCACGTTGACTATTTGAATACTAAAACCCTAAATATGACTATATGAATACCAAAACCCTAAATATGACTACATGAATACTAATACTCAAGGGCTGGGGGGGGGGGGGGGGCGAATGGTTAGCGCGTACGCGATGTTTCATAATGTTTGTCATTGAGTAAACCGGCGTGATTTCGACTCCCCGGTTGTACGTGACAAGGAGAAGGGTCACCTGTCCAGCCTCGTGGGTTTTCTGCGGGGTCCCCCGGATCCCTCCCACTGCTAAAGGCCTCGACTCGCAAGGGCGTTAGTGAAATAAAATTGAATCATTTGTTGGTCCCGAAATGACCTAGTTTGTGTCGAGTGGACGTTAAACCCCATCTCTCTCTCTCTCTCTCCAAAACTCTAAAGTTGACTATATATGAATACTCGAGCCCTAAATATCGACGAGGACCGCGATGGTCCGGTGAGTAAGACGTTGGCTCACTAACCTGGAGTTCCCGTGTTCGGGCCCTGTGTTGGCCCACAAAGTTCATCGGGTTTTCCGGCGTGGTTCCGTGTACACAATAAAACAAAGCCCTGACAGTGGAAATGCGATAAAAGAGTAGGCCACAGCGCAACTGTCCCTGGAAAAATCGCCTCATAGTACACTGTATGGTGCATACCCATCTTCACTAGCCCGGTCACAGCGCAACTGTCCCTGGAAAAATCGCCTCATAGTACACTGTATGGTGCATACCCATCTTCACTAGCCCGGTCGAACGTTAAACTCCTTTACATTTTATTTCCTTCGCAGAGAGCGTCAAGATCGCCGCACGCGTAGTAAAAGCGTGGTGGAAACGTAAGATATCGTGCTGTGGTCTCCATGGTCGCCAATGATCGCCGAGTCACGGCGTTTGTTTTAAGCATGTTCAAAACAAACGCCAAGGTCTGTGATCTGAACTGGAAAGCTGTAAGAACGCGTCTTTTTTTCAAGTTTGTAATTGTTTGGGACATTTCCTTGTGTTGTGTTTACGTTTGCTGGCGAACAACTTTGTGTATTTTCTGGTCGCTGTTCGGTCGCTTCAGCGCAGTAAGAACGGCACCGCCGTCTGACGGGGGCTTAACTATCAGGTCCAATCAGTTATTTTTCCCCATATGAATACTGAACGCCCCTAGAGGCTTATATTTCTTAATGTAGAATTAAGATTGAGAAATCGGTTATCAAAAGATCAATCAAAAACACCCACAATATATTGAACATTAAATTAGAAAGATGGAATTGAAGATGAAGAAAAAAAGAAAACCAAATCAGAATAAGCTTAAGCTAGGATCATAAACAATTTGAGATTTTAATATAACGTAATAATTTGTCTCCGGCCATCAACCTGGAATCTTGAAGAAAATCGATCGTGAAAATCTTTTCATTATTTTCCTTGAGTGAATGATGGAGTTCTGATAGACTTAGTGCGTTATTTAGTAGACAAGTTGATAATAGGCTTATTATTCAAACTGGTTCTAAACTCAACCAAGATAAAAACAATGTTTAATGGACTGTATTATCAGTCTAATGAAGTATTATTCAATTCAAACTTCACTGATTGGTTGATTCCAACCACATCCATTTCTTACTCGACTGACTGCCTAGCTGGTTGGGGAGGTTGGATAGCTGAATGAATAGCGCGTGCGCGCTGTATCATAAGGTCTGTCATCGAGTCAACTGGCGTGGATTCGATTCCCCGGTTGTACGTGACAAGGAGTAGGGTCGCCTGTCCAACCACGTGAGTTTTCTCCGGGTCCTCCGATTTCCTCCCACTGCTAAAGACCCCTACACGCAAGCGAATTATTGAAATAAAATGTAACCATGTGTTAGGTCCGAAATGGCCTAGGTTGTGTCGAGTGGGCATTAAACCACATCTCTCTCTCTCTCTCTCTCTCTCTCTCTCCTAGACACCGTGCTACGATTGAAATCGTGGTTTTAATCGTAGAGTAATGGTGGTGATGGGCCTAATGCTGACGGGGATATACATCATACCGACCGGGTTAGTGATGACGGGGATATACACCATACGACCGGGCTAATAATATACACCATATCATGGGGTGGGGGATATTGTGCTGCCTAACCTTCATAAACTGCCATGGGTATAATATACCGGCACGTCAACAAGTATACGGATGGACCTCGGCTCTTGTTTTCCACATCAGAAGCTTTCTTTGGATTGTTTCCCCCTGTACAGACATTCATTTGGTTCTCTGAAACCTGTACCGACTTTCACAACAAATGGCACTGTACCGAGAGCTGACTATGACGTCATCGCAGCCATCTTGGAATTGTGACGTCAATCGATATGTATTTGTCCAAGAAACAAGCATGTCAGGTTTCATGTCTATCGTATACAAATTGGCGAAGCCTTAGGCTCTTTGAGCGTGGCTCCCAAGAACAACATGAAGAAATAGCAAAGTGGCACTCCCAGGAACAAAATGAAAAACAAGAGGAGTGAAGCTCGAAAGAATAACATGAATAACACAAGGAGCGTCGCTCCCAAGAACAACATGAACAACAAAAGGAGTGTCGCTCCAAAGAACTACATGAACAACAAGAGGAGTTTCGCCCCCCCCCCCCAAGAACAACAAAAGCAGGAGTGTAGCTCCCAGGAACAACAAGAGGCGAGGCGCTCCCAGGAACAACAAGAGGAGTGTCGCTTCCAAGAACAACATGAACAACAAGTGGCGCGGCGCTTCGCGGAGTCAGCTTCTGTTCCAATAAGTAGATTGTACAGGCTACAGTAATAACAAGCAATTCCCAAGTGGACATTACTTTGATATCTAATGAAACGGAATATAAAATGTACCTCCACCGTTTCGAGAGACCGGATATTATCTTCTGCCAGAGTTCACAATAAAATAGATGACATCTTGTATTTATAGAATGAAACACCAGATAAAATATCATATAGAATTTTTTCTCAACTGTTGTCAGGGTTCACAATAAAAAAAAAATATCTTGTTTTTATAAAATGCGATACCAGATAAAATATCATAAAATTTTTTGTCTCGACCGTTGTTCACAATAAAATAGATGATATCTTTTATATATAGAACGACACAATAGATAAAATATCATATTAAACCCTTTTTTCTCGGCCGTTGTTCACAATAAAAAGGATAAAATCTTTTATTTATAGAACGATACACTAGATAAAATATCCTTTGATAGTAAAAGAATATATAATGTTACATTTAGGTAGAATTGACAATACATCTACTACAATCCATATCTCAAAAACTTTACTACTTCAAATGATAAATTCTGTTTGTGCAAATTTCTTATGAATTATATATTGCAAACGTGTGGGTTTTTTGTTTAAAATAGTTATTTATTTTTTTTATTTGCAAGTATTGACCGAGATCGTGAAGATATTAAAAGATAAAAATACGGGAATATTTATAAATGACTTGTTTTTATTCCGTGTAATGGTTTTAATAATAATAAAAAAAAAGAATCACAGGTGTTTATGAATATGATAATAATATTTTATGATTATTGATAAAAATATATCCTGAATGCTTAATTAATTGTCTTTTAATCGATTTTTTCTACTTGTTTTTTTTCAGATTGGTGATTACATCAAGGGACCAGAAAAATGAACAGCTCTCTGGCTAATGGCTGGTTCGCGAAGCCTGATAAAAATTTAGAAGCATTCGCCCTTTGGTATTGGGGTATCCATGGATACCTGAGTATTTTCGTGTGTATATTTGGAATCCTGACCAATTTCATCAACATAGAAATCCTTACACGGAAACCGATGCGGACGTCAGTCAACACCATATTAGCAGCCGTTGCCATCTCCGACATCGTTCTAATGGCGTCCTACATACCCTTCGCTATTCATTTCTATATCATGTGTGACTTGAGACCAACACCACAGAGATATTCATACGCGTGGACTACTTTCATGGCGGTTCATGCCAATGTAACGTTAAGCACCCACGCCATCTCAATATGGCTGGCTGTGTTTATGGCCATTCAGCGCTATGTTTACCTTCAAACCAAATTCTGTTTCACAGTGAGAAATACGGTGTTCGCGTGCTTTGCTATTTGTTTCGCCTCGGGGTTGATCATGGTACCGAACTACATGATTACTGGTGTCTACGAAGTTTCCAACAATTCATTTAATACCAGCATGTACAGATTGAACGAATTCGCTCTTGGCTCCAAGAACCCTTCATCTATCGTGCTCCTGGCCTTCTGGCTGTACGCCATTGCCGATAAACTCTTGCCCTGTGCGTTAATAACTATATTTATGGGCTTTCTATTGAAAAAATTACACGAGAGTGCGGAGAGGAGAAAACGACTGTTCAGCACCAACGCTAGTAGTAATAGCAAGAAGAAAAAAGACCATAAGAGTACGACCACTATGTTGTTAGTGATTATAATTCTTTATATCGTCACCGAACTCCCACAAAGTGTCGTAGTCGTCATGAGTGCCTGTCTCGATGGCTTTTTTGAAAATGTTTATTCTCTCTTGGCAGACATCTTGGATATGGCGGCGCTTATAAACAACGCCATTAATTTTGTGTTGTATTGCATTATGAGTCAGCAATTTCGAGAACATCTTCTGGATACGTGGTTGCTGAAATTTTGTAAAAACCTCAAGTGCTATAAGAACCGACATTATAAGAATGTCAAATATGGCGGACAATCAAACGCTGACGATTTAACAACCTTAGCTACTGAAAAAACCGTCATCAGGACGGAAAATATAAAACTACTGTAAAATAAATGTTTTCGCTAACGAGAAATCGGGAGATATGTGTCTCGATTATCACAAAATACAATTATTCGATATGGCATTCAACTGATCATCATCGGGAGATACGTGTCTCGGTTATCACAAAAGACTATTATTCGATATGGCATTCAACTGATCAACATCGGGAATGGATTAAATCTTAATTTATTGATCAAAATCAGAGAACTAATTTTTATTACAATCAATCAACTAGTAGTGTGGTAGTGTGTTGCGATTCTTCTGCAATTAACCATTGATGAACAATGTTTATTGGGTGCACAAGGCTCAAAATGAATATAATTCGTTCCATTTAATTAGCCCCCACTTGTTTTGTTAATACTCTATTCATAGGACCTTAAAATAAACGAAAGGGGGTCTAAAAGCACATATTAAACATACATTATGCAAGAGCTAAATCTGCCTATTGCATGTCTTTCTTTCGGTCTGAAATGTTATCTAAATTATTAATTAGACATTAATTAACTTATCCAGGCTATAATCAACTCTCGATGGCATCAGATTTCTCCGATGTTAAATAGATTAGAGCAGTTCAGCCATATTTTGATTTAAGCTCAGAATGGAGGAGCGAGACTTAGCTTCGAACAACCGGTACGGTGGTTGAAAGTATTGCACACGTCTTGTCAAACCTTCAAATGCTAATATCTTCGCTCACAATAGAGTAATTTGAATGAAATTTTCAATATAGGCCTATTCATTTTACATTATCTATTTTCGAACTTTTCTAGCAAGAATGACTAGCTCTTTATCTAAATCTTACATAATGAATCTTTAAAGTAACTTGAATTTATGTATTCCATTTTTTAAAACATTATTTCAATTTCTAATTAATTATATTTGGTGAAATACGAGAATAGTCAAAGTTAAACGACAGTTGTTTACATCTTCTTAGTCCATTTTACACGTTTTGTGATTATTATTTCTGCCGTTTGTGAATCCGCCATTACTAATTATTTCCGCATTGTCTTGTAAGATATGTTTTTCTTTGTTAATTGCAGGTGGCATCCGAAAGAATAGAATACACGATTCGTGTAGGCCTATTGATTATAAAATCAGAATTGTGTCTTAAATACAGGATATTAGGATCCAATATATTCACAACATGAAAACAATATTGATTGAAATAGACCAATATTGAATTCTAATCTGTGTTTTTAATTTGAATATTAAGGAAGTTAGAGGATTTAGAGCCTTCAAATATCCATGTTATATATAATATTATTATTTGTGGTCATCGGCAGTAGTCTGATATCTCGACACTTGTTGATTTTCTGTCGAGAGTATATCCACTTTCTTTATTCAGTAATAAATGAAATGAAATGGGGTTTAACGTCCTACTGTTTTGCTTCGATCTGGGCTAATGAAGACGGTCATACACATACAGTGTGCTATGAAGGAAATTTTGCCCCAACAGCGACACTACGGCCTACTCTTATATCGAATTCCAACTGTCAAGGGATCTTTTACGTGCATGGCAATGTGTACACGGGACCTCGGTTTTCGTCACAAGGACAGCTGTCTAGTCATTAGGATGAGACGAAAAACCGAGGAATTCGATATAAGTGTAGTGCTACCGCCCGTAAAAATTTCCCCCATAGCAGTTTGGAGCAAAACAGTAGGACGTTAAACCCCATTTCATTTATATTTCTATGGCTAATACTGGTTACCCCCCCCCCCCCAGCTCCCTGATACTCACCATTTTTGTGTAGATATGTCGGCTAAAGGAGTTGAATTTCAAATCAGCCTACTGTAAGGAGTTGAATTTCAAATCGGCCTACTGTAAGAAATCCTATTGATAGGAAGAGGGAGGCACTGTTCATGTGGATCGGTGGAGTCACTGGCCGTTTAGGTTAAGTAATTAACTAGGTATATGGATAGGTTAAGCCAATGGTCATGTGTATAGGTTACGATAAGGGCCCTATGTACAGGTTACGATAAGGGCCCTATGTACAGGTTACGATACTGGCTCTATATGTATAGGTTACGATAATGGCCCTATGTGTATGGGTTACGATAATGGCCCTATGTGTATGGGTTACGATAATGGCCCTATGCACATGTTACGATAATGGCCCTATATACAGCTTACGATTATGGCCCTATGTACAGGTTATGATAATGGCCCTATGTACAGGTTACGATAATGGTTCTATGTACAGGTTACGATACTGACACTATATGTATAGGTTTCGATAATGGACCTATGCATAGGTTACGATAATGTCCCTATATGTATAGGTTACGATAATGGACCTATGTGCAGGTTACGATACTGACACTATAGGTAACGATAATAGACCTATGCATAGGTTACGATAATGAACCTATGCGCAGGTTACGATAATAAACCTATGCGCAGGTTACGATAATGGCCCTATGTGCAGGTTACGATAATGGCCTTATGTATAGGTTACGATAGTGGTTCTATGTATAGGTTACGATAATAACCCTATGGGTAGGTTACGATCTGGCTATATGTTTAAATTAAGACAATAGATAAGACAAGTAGCCTTACCCCTGTTAATAACTATGTTTGTATATACGTATGTATATTATAATAACTCTATGTATTTATGTATAATATTATTATAATGGTGGTATGTTTATAATATTGATTACATTATTTACATTTTGTGTATAACTGGTGTGAACCATATATCAATAACTTGAAATAAAGCTATAATCAACAAGTAACAGTTATATTATATCTAGGCCTTGACACCAGAACAAGTAATATTTATATTATTTCTAGGCCTCGACACCAGAACAAGTAATAGTTATATGATATCTAGGCCTCGACAAAGGAACAAGTAATAGTTATGATATCTAGGCCTAGACACGAGAACAAGTAATAGTTATACGATATCTAGGCCTAGATACTAGAACAAGTAATAGTTTTACGATATCTAGGCCTAGATACTAGAACAAGTAATAGTTATATTATATCTAGGCCTCAACACCAGGACAAGTAATAGTTATATGATATCTAGGCCTCGACACAGGAACAAGTAATAGTTATGATATCTAGGCCTAGACACTAGAACAAGTAAAATTTATATTATATCTAGGCCTCGACACTAGAACAAGTAATAGTTATATTATATCTAGGCCTAGATAAAGTAATAGTTATATTATATCTAATCTAGGCCTCGACACTAGAACAGTAATAGTTATATTATATCTAGGCCTAGACACTAGAACAAGTAAAAGTTATATTATATCTAGGCCCTGACACTAGAACAGTAATAGTTATACGATATCTAGGCCTAGATACTAGAACAAGTAATAGTTATATTATATCTAGGCCTTAACACTACAACAAGTAATAGATATATTATATCTAGGCCTAGATAATAGAACAAGTAATAGTTATACGATATATAGGCCTAGATACTAGAAAAGTTGTCTGCACCGATTGGGCTAATGAAGGCGGGCATATGTCATACAGTGTGCTATGAGGGAAATTTTGCCAGACAGCGGCACTTCGACCTACTCTTATATCGAATTCCAACTTCTAAGCGTTCTTTTACGTGTTGGCCAATGTGTACACGGGGCCTCGGTTTTTCTTACTATCCGAACAACTAGACGCTGTTAATTCCTGCGCCACTGACAAGGAGAACCCACACTGGAACATTTCGGGGGGAACGTTCACTGTTGTTCAGTGGCCAAAAATCCAGAACTGACCTTTCTTAGTTGCTGGGGGGTTGGATGGTCGAATGGTTAGCACGTGCGTGCTATATTATAAGGTTTGTCATTGAGTCAACTGGCGTGGTTTCGAATCCCCGGTTGTACGTGACAAGGAGTAGGGTCGCCTTCCAACCTCGTGGGTTTTCTCCGGGTCGAGTGGACGTTAAACCCCCCCCCCACTCTCTCCCTCTCTCTTTCGCTCTTAGTTGCTGATTTCGTGACCGATGTAACGAAAGGAATATTTAGGTTTGTTGTCTGTGTTATGCTGGATTTATTCTCCACATGTTTCTGTTAAATATTTCCACAATCACTAGAGAGTTATCTCCATTAACCAGACACTACGTGCACTGAACATGTCACGTGACTGGCCTTCAACATGATATTACATGGCGGACGATAAATAACATCTTTGAACAGAAGTAAAATGAAATGAAATGAAACAGGGTTTAACGTCCTATTTTTCTGGATCGATTCGGCTGATAAAGACGGGTATAGGCCTTATAGTGTGCTAATGAAGACGGGTATAGGCCCTGCAGTGTGTTAGTGAAGACAGTGTGCTAGTGAAGACGGCTATAGGCCCTACAGTGTGCAAGTGAAGACGGCTATAGGCCCTACAGTGTGCTAGTGAAGACGGGTATAGGCCCTACAGTGTGTTAGTGAAGACGGCTATAGGCCCTACAGTGTGCTAGTGAAGACGGGTATAGGCCCTACAGTGTGCTAGTGAAGACGGGTATAGGTCCTGCGGTATGCTAGTGAAGATGTGTATATGCTATACAGTGTGCTAATGAAGACAGGTATAAGCTTTACAGTGTGCTAGTGAAGACGTGTATATGCCATAAAATGTGCTACGAGGAAAATTTTGCTGCAGTAATTCAACAATCATAATCAGTATCGTCCTCGACAACAAGCAAATAACATCATATTTCAAATAAACATAAGACTCGTCGCTAGAATATCATCAATAAATACGCTCACACAACAGCTATGTCATGAAAAACAGATAACCATTGACCAAAGGAAAATATAGCTGATGTTGACCAAGTTTGATAATACGCCTTCAAGAATTCTAATTACTGCATGGCGTGTTCACAAACTTTTCTGGACACATAATATATCTCTGGAAAAGAATGTCCTAAGATCCATCATCTCGTAACGCTTATGTTGCAACAATTAAAAACGGTAGACAAGACAGACGGACAAGGTCGACGACATAATACGCATACTCTGTATAGGCCCTACAGCGTGCTAGTGAAGACGGATATAGGCACTACAGTGTGCTAGTGAAGACGGGTATTGGCCCTACAGTGTGCTAGTGAAGACGGGTATAGGCCCTACAGTGTGCTAGTGAGAACGGGTATAGGCCCTACAGTGTGCTAGTGAAGACGGGTATAGGCCCTACAGTGTGCTACTAGTGAGAACGGGTATAGGCCCTACAGTTTGCTAGTGAAGACGGGTATAAAAATAAAATGTCTTAATCCAGCATTAACTAATGGCGCTAAAAAAAAAAATTTTTTTTATATAAAATTTATCTTATTTATAAGCTTATTCATTTTATGGATACACAAATACTGAGTTTAATACTAAGCAACGTTTCGACGAGGATACTCTCATCTTTATTAAACAAATGATACAAATAATTGTGGGCAAATATATATACAGAATATGAGAGAGAGAGAGAGAGAGAGAGAAATGAGGTTTAACGTCCACTCGACACAAACTAGGTCATTTCGGGACTAACATATGGTTTAATTTTATTTCAATAATTCGCTTGCGCGTAGGGGTCTTTAGCAGTGGGAGGAAACCGGAGGACCCGGAGAAAACCCACGAGGTTGGACAGGCAACCCTACTCCTTGTCACGTACAACCGGGGATTCGAAACCACGCCAGTCGACTCAATGACAGGATTAATGATACAGCGCGCGCACGCTAACCATTCAGCCACCCAACCCCCCATACAGAATATGCATCAAAGATAATAATCAAATGCAACTTTAAAAAGCTTACTATTTCTGCATCGCATTAAAAACTCAGTAATTATATATCCATAAAATTGTACTTTTGTTAATATGTTCAATTACTAAAAGCCAATCAAAGAAGAAAGTTGTACTTGTTTGAAGAAAAACGGATAAACTTGAAAGAAAAACAGATTTAGACTTTGAAATATTTGTATGATAAAACATTCTTCAAAGGCGTCGTCATAGGAAACGCCGTTGATAATCCCGGAACTTGAAAGTAGTTCTAATGGCGGACTTCGTCATACAGCCGAGGCTCGATGTAGGGTACTGGAATCTGCTGAAGTGTGCCGAGTGATTCATATACAAGGCATTCATAACCACGTATGCATAACAATGTTGATGTATAGTCACTTCACTTTTCGTCATAGCAACAATAGAAAATCAAACTATGAAATATTCACACAAGCCTGCTTTGTATTCGAGTTTCATATGATATTTATCACGAATCTCTTAGGATAATAAAAGATAGTAACAATATAAATTCAAAACATAATATTCATATCAGCGTGTTTTGTATTCGGATGCCAGCATCATCTTGCATTTAAAAAAACGAACATAATTTCTTTTGTAGATGTAAAAATACCTTTCTTTCATTTCAAACAAAATATATAAATTATTAATTGTTTGTGCGACCGTTTGAAAGGGTGCGTCTAAATATATCTCATGAAGTTGAATGAAATTTTTAAGTTACAATCAAATAACTGCCAAATTATCATCCATGTACATTAATCGTTCATCGCTAAAATTAAATCATGCCGAAAGTAAGTGAAACGTTTTGAGATTTTATCGCTAATGTTTAATCATGCTGAATGTTGTGAAACTTATCGAGATTTTATAATAACTGAGTACAGGGGCGGATTGGGCCATCGAGCGATCGGAAAACAATGAAAAAAAATATTTTGTCCAATTCGTCTAGAAAAAACCTTTTTCTGCTGAACATTATATGGGGTGGGGGTGCGGGTGGGGGTGGGGGTGGGGATATTTGACCGGTCATGGAGCGATGATGAT